AAAAAAAAAAAAAAAAAAAAAAAAAAGCAGGGGTAACTAGGCCGGAGTCACTAAGACGAGTTGTAACTGCACTATGGGCCAAGATACAGTTTGCAATTGCAGTTCGGGCACCCTACCTGGCCAGAAAGCTGGGTTGTATACATTGCCCGAACTGCAATTGCAAACTGTATCTTGGCCCATACTGCAAGTATACCTCGTTTTTGTGTGACTCCCGCCTAGTTTCCCCCAAAAAAGAAAAAAAGAGAGTAAGCAGCTCCCCCCACCCCCCTCCAAAAAAAAACGAAAACGCGCACACACAGTAGGCTACGTAGTTGGAAATGATCGACAATGTTTTTGAACTTTGTGGATGTTAATTTATTAAACAACATGGCGTTCCGAAAATGAACAGCGCTCCCAAAAAAAAAAAACAAAAAAAAAAAAAAACAGAATAGCCTCCCACGGCCGCTTTACTATCGGATCGGCCGTCGTTGTTAAAATAACACAGACAAAAGTTTAACTCGTCGAAAAAGTTTAACTCATCGAAAAGGTCGAGCTCGTCAACAAAGGTCAATCATTCCGCAAACTATTGCTATTGCTATTGCTATTGCTATTCGTTTTAACTCGTCGGAAAGGCCCTGAATCCGGAACCTGTACCATTTTTATTTCTGGCCTTGGGCACTGGGCCCTAATAAAAAGGCACTCCTAGTCTTCTAGGGAAAAAAAAAAAAAAAAAAAAAAAAAAAAAAAAAAAAAAAACTGAAAAAAAAAAGAAGAGACTCCTTCGGTTTCGCAGCAAACTAGTGCTATTACTAGCTGGCCTATCTCAGTTGGTACCACCCATGACCTGTTGAAATGCAGACGTGAGTTCCAATCCACACACACATCGAACCAGATGATCATCGAAAATGCCGTCCTATGAACTGTTGAAATGCAGACCTGAGTTCGAATCCACACACATCGAACCAGATGAACGAAAATGCCGACCAGGTCCTCTGAACTGTTGAAACGCAGACCTGAGTTGCCTCAGTTGGTACACCCATCAACTGTTGAATTGAAATGGTGACCTGTGTTCGAACGCAGATGGAACCCATAGGAACAAAATGCTTGAATGGAGGGGGCCGTCAGTTTCACAATGATCTCTCAACTTGAAAGCTGCCGACCTTTCTTTTCCGAGAAAAAAAAAAAAGAAAGAAAAAAACTGCTGCTATTGCTCTCCTAGCAGGTACTGCGCTCGAATCATTGTCAAGTTCAAGGTAAAAGAAAACAAAACTAAAAAAAAAAACAAAAAAAAAAAGGCAGGTAGTGCGCTCACACTACCGCGAACAGTCGTTAACCTGCATCAACTCTGCTTCAGTACAAACAAGTTACAAACAGTAAATGGAACAGTTACTCTCCCTCAACTGATCGCCGGATTCTAATTAAAAACTCGCTGCCTCTCTCTCTCTCTCTCTCTCTCTCTCTCTCTCTCTCTCTCTCTCTCTCTCTCTCTCTCTCTCTCNCTCTCTCTCTCTCTCTCTCTCTCTCTCTCTCTCTCTCTCTCTCTCTCTCTCTCTCTCTCTCTCTCTCTCTCTCTCTCTCTCTCACCAAGCCGCGTAGCCTCTCATTCAAGTGCCGTCACTCTTGTTGAAGAATCTTCGACAAAACCATCAACTCGCTGTACATGCGCCGTGTCGTACCCACGTAATTGCCTTTACAAATCGCCCCTTCTTTATCCGATCGCCGGATTCGCCGCTGTCCGCCCTCCCAAAAACCAGAAGAGCCCACCGAGTCCCGGACGACCGAAAGAGGTAATTAGTAATTACATTAAAATTAGGATGATTAAATTACAAAAGAACATTTCGAGAGAAGTAGAGCCCACTGGTCACGACTTCAACTCACTAAAATAAGCGCAACGGAACTAACGGACGCTAAGCTATTTACAGGAAAGTACGACGTACGGTCTACCATCCTCCGTCGAATAGAACGTACGACGTACGGTCTACCATCCTCCGTTCAATAGAACGTACGACGTACGGTCGTTATAGCTTTTTTTAGACTGAAAGATACCCAAATTACAGCTATAACGACCGTACGTTAGGTAGCAACCGGCCGCTGTATCTCGTCGAAGAAGTAGACGATCCCCCCAAAAAAAGCCGGCACAAATAATCCGCATTGCACGATCGGATAGGCCACGCCATAGCCGCCTGCACTATCTTCGTCTTCTTCGTCCTCTTCTTCTTCTTCTTCTTCTTCTTCTTCTTCTTCCTCCTCCTCTTCTTCTTCTTCTTCTTCTTCTTCTTCTTCTTCGTCGTCGTCGTCGTCGTCGTCGTCGTCGTCGTCCCTATGCTTCTTCTTCTCAAGTTTACTATCTTCTTCAGTGATGCGAGTCGTATGCTTGAGCTTAATCAGGCCTTGCCGCCTGTAAGCCACACCAGATTGAACGCGACTGCGGTCCACAGTGCGTTTTCTTCGTTCCAATTACTCCATGATCGCCGAGCAGTGCGGCGCCTGGATTATTAACCCGTGGAGTGAGGACACCAGTTAACCGTTTCTCGACGGTAGAGATGCCAGTGGCCGATTTGGTGAATCTTGTTAGGCCGTGGATTGAGCAAGCAGTGCGGCGCCGGGAATGAGCAGTATCCCTGATACCCAATACAGTCGTCTAGCGAGCGACCGCTGCATCTCGTCGAAGCAGACGATCCCCCACAAGCCGGACACAAAGAGTCCGCATTGCATGATCGGGTAGGCGACGCCATAGCCGATTTTCTCGACGGCATACATGGCTGAGACGTTGGAGAAGTTCCAGATGAGGCCAGAGAGAAGGCCAGGCAAGAAAGCATCTTTGAAGTGGGGACTTGGGAGGGAGAGGCGGCCTCCGCCGCGGGGTACGACAGCAATCAAAGAGACGAGCGGCGCGCTGATGGCAACGCCGAGCGCGAAAGAAGGGAAAAAGCCGAAGCCTTGCGCCAGAGGCGGCGCAAACTGCATGGGCGCAAGAACCAATCCGCCGAATGCGCCCGTCAGGCAAGCGCAGATCACGCCGGCCAGCTTCTCTCCCGCTGTTGTTGAGCTACTCCTGCTCCCCCTAGACGTCGACGAACCCTTCGCCTCGTTCCCCTGCCCCTTCTCCTCGCCCTCCCCTTTCTCCAAGTCCGTCACTTTTTCCCCCCCTGCCCGCAGCGATGGCGGGACGAAGTCGGCGGAATGCGGAGCTGCTTCTTGCGCGGACGACGACAAGTCAGCCGCTGCTGCTTTGTTTGCCGAGGAGGACGGTCGTTGAAGGTGTTGCGAGTGCGGTCCCCACTGCGCGCCGAGCAGCTGCCGCGCCTCGTCCGCGCAGTTGCGCGCCAGCACCTTCGACTCCTGCAGCAG